AGAGGGAGGAGATGGGTGGGTGGGATGATGGGCACAGGAGGAGAGGGTGGAGATGGGTGGGTGGGTTGGTGGGCACAGGAGGAGAGGGAGGAGAGGGAGGAGATGGGTGGGTGGGTTGGTGGGCACAGGAGGAGAGGAGATGGGTGGGTGAGTTGGTGGGCACAGGAGGAGAGGGAGGAGATGGGTGGGGTGGGATAATGGGCACAGGAGGAGAGGGAGGAGATGGGTGGGTGGGTTGGCGGGCACAGGAGGAGAGGGAGGAGATGGGTGGGTGGGTTGGCGGGCACAGGAGGAGAGGGAGGAGATTTGTGGGGATGGGATGATGGGCACAGGAGGAGAGGGAGGAGATGGGTGGGTGGGTTGGCGGGCACAGGAGGAGAGGGAGGAGATGGGTGGGTGGGTTGGCGAGCACAGGAGGAGAGGGTGGAGGCAGGGAGGGGAGCAGAGCACAGGAACGCGTCCTCTGACCTTCTGTCTTCTTGGAGACCCATGCGTTGATGTGTTTCCTGGACTTCTCTGCAGCCTGGGCAAAGGAAAGCTGCTCCAGCTCCGCGTGGTAGAACTGAACACAGGCGTCCTTGAACGACTGCAGAGAGGAAAGCCTTCAGTGAGGCTGCCTGGCTACAGGAGGTGCCAGCAAGCTCCCCCGAATTCGGAGCTTACATTCACCCTTGAGTTAAAACGGGAAAACGCATCTTTCCATGGTGACCCAATCTCAGTCCACCAGCTGTGAAAACATCCCAGTTTGTAACTAGACACGGCCTGCGCCTGGAATGAGCAGGGATCAATACAGGAGCTTCAGAAAGGGCCGATTGTAAACAAGGCAAGGTGCAGCTGTACAATCCTAGTCTTTATTTTAAAATGTCACTGTCAGTTTCCCAGGTTCTCTAAGGACTTTATCCCAGTCTCTAGGTCACCAGGTGTTTTGAATACGACTGAGGGTTCTGATTCAACTTACAGAGAGGAATTCACAGGTCTTTTCTCCGAAGAGCCTGTTGGCAGTTTTAAGCAGGTACTGCGCATCCGGCCTGTTGACATGGGTGAGAAGTGACTGGAAGCCCTGGTGTGCGTCTTCCCCTGTGCTCAAAGAAAGTGCCTGCGGAGAGAAACCCTTCCAGGTGACCTCAGTGCTCTGGGTCTGCTGTGTTCCAAAGGATCATTCCTTAAGGCCAGCGACATGGCTCAGTAGGCAAGCCTCTGCCCATGGCAACAGCATGCCTTAGGGGCACTGGTTCATGTCCCAGCGGCTCCACTTCTGATTCAGCTGGGAAACAGCAGAGGATGCTCCAAGACCACAGGATCCTTGCACCAAAGCAAGGACTCCTAGCTTTGCATCTGCTCAGCTCTAGCTACTGCGATCATTTGGATGGTGAACCAGTGGATGCAAGATCTCTCTCTCTCTCTGTGTCTCTTTCCCTCTGTAACTTTCAAATAAAAATAAAACATATCTCCTAAAAACTACTACCCTGAGAGGAGGCTGTTTCTGTTGTAAATGACCACTTAGCACATCCTGGAGAAGTGACACTGCTGGGCATAGGAGAGGAGTGGCCAGCCCAGGCAGAGACAGTGGAAACCGAGGCAGAGAAAGAACTGGCCCTGCCACCTGCACAGAGTTCCTTGGCTTCTGTTTTGTTTTGTCCAGATTTAGGGGAAGGGACGGGAACAGCAAAGAAGACAAGGGCAGAGAGGTCCAGCAAAGGGCTGCCCCCCTCCAGGAGCAAAGCTCGCTCTAACGCACACCCATGAAGACAGAGGTGAGAGCACCAAAACTGGGCAGAAATGCAGCCATCAGGGGCATCTTCAAAAGCAAAAAGGGTGTAGGGCGAGGGATGCGGTTCCCGAGACTAAGCATAGAAATCCTCAGGAGAGGAGTGTTTCTCACACACAGAGAAAAAGCAGCATTGGGCCACAGAAAGTCTTCAACCTCCTCTCTCACACACAGGAGGGGGCAGGGTTAGAATGAGCAAGCCTACTGGGAGCCATCCACCCGGGGGAGAGAAAATCCTGCTGAACACAGGAGCCACACTGCCCCGAGGAGAGTGCGTGGACAGGATGGCGCTGGCAGTGTCTCCTTGGGCCCTACACACACTGGGAGCCCTGGGTGCTAGGACTGGCCCTGGAGCCGTCTCCAGATGCTCCCAGAACATCTGGAGCACACAAGGAACAAGTGCCTTAGTCTTTGTCAGAGGCCTCGAGCCCAACCCTGGAAGGTCCTTCATGGGTTTCTGTCCCTCCAGCTCCGTACTGAGCGAGGACACAGGCTGGGAAGCAGGTGTTCACCTCCCAATGGTGAGCAGCTATGACTGCAAAGGCTTTGCCCCTACAAGGAGAGAGAAGCTAGCAGCTTAGCTTCTAGAAAGTTCTGGTGTCACTTTCTAAATAAAAATAAGATGCAGCATAAAAATCCAACAGTCTTTTCAGGGTCAACAATTGGAGAAACACTTTTCCTTATTCCACCCCATCCTTCACCAAAACCATCTCAGTGGAGGAGGATCCTTCTTTCCTGCTCCCGGGTACCTCCCTCCCTGGTGGACAGCCCCTCTTGGAGTTGGTGTGGACACTCACCCTGTGCTCTGTCATGTGGCAGGAGCAGCAGCCGCTGCGGTCCAGCCCCACCGTGGGCTGCAGGGTGGCTTACCTGGGCTATCTGAGCTGTAGTGTTGCTCTTTGCACCCAGGAGGACCATGGCCAGAGCAGAGGAGATGCTCATGGGAGAGATGAACACGTTGTTGTCCGGGTCGTCCTGACACAATCCGTTTAAGAGGCATTACAATCGACCCCAGACAAATGCTTGAAGAATAAACTGTGAGAGGTGCAAGAGCAGAGTGTCTCTGTGAGCCTGTGCATGTAGCTGTGCACGCTCTGCATGTAAGTACACGTGTGTCACATGTGTTCAAGCCAACAGGTGTGGATGGTACATGCAGGCATATGGTATGTTCACACATGTGCTCAAAGCACACTTAGGCATTTGGGAAAAAAATCTTGCTTTCATTTGGAAAGTATTACACTTTGCCCCAGTAGCTGAGGGGTAATGAATCCAGCAGTCTTGGAACAGCACGGAGAACCAGAGGTGGGAATAATGGGCACATTGGACACGACAGGAGGCAGGTGCACCAGAGCACGATGCTTGGCTGCAGGGTGTGAGCCAAGCTCCAACTCCAGCTTTGGTCCAGGCCTAGGAGGAAAAAGTGTTCCTGCTAGTTAGTGACCCAGGGGAGGCACAGAGCTGGGAGTGTGAGAGGCTGAAGCACCCGCCCCCCGGCAGCCTGTGGGTGCTGGGGGCCAAAGGCTTGGACAGCTGCCCAGGGCATGAGGACTAAAGCTACCAGGCAAAGTGGATGTCTGACATTGGTGCCGGCCTCCAGCACTGCCTGGCGGAGGTATCCAGAGTGGCCAGTGAGCCCTGGGCCACAGTGGGAACCGCGGCCCGTGCTGACTCACTGGGGAGGAGGAGTTTGGTGAACAAGTTTGAATGCAGGAATTCTGATGGTGGGGTACCCCACAATAGTAGTCTCCAGGAGAACCCCAGAGGAGAGAGCCACCTCCCTGGCAGCCGCCCTAGGGCTCACTGCTAATACGCAAACGTGTCGTTGTCTGGTTGGCTCTGGACAGCTTCGTGGAGGGATGAACTCGCACACTGTCAGGTGCTCTGATGGAAGCACTGAAGGCCAAGTTGACAAAGGCAGCCGGGGAGGTCTGAAGCAGACGGGCTCTGCCTGTGTCTGTAGGCGCACCTGCGGGCCTTGTCCTCTTGCTTGAAGAGGACGATGACAATACAAGACAGTGTGTTTCAGTGGTCAGGTTCCCATGTCAGGGGGTCACAGGGTCAGAGAAGGCCATGAGACACAGGTAGACACTGTCCCCACTAAAGCATTGGGATTGCAGGGTCGTCCCAAGTATATCCTGAAACAGTTGCCACCCCCAAAAGGCTCCATGAGGCCCTGCAGAATGGCCCAGGGGACCCGAACTGAACCCGAAAGGACTCCAGTCAGAGTCAAGGCTGGACCCGACAGGAGGCTCCTCTACAACCCAGAGCAGAACAGCAGCTGGTGGCTGCATTGAGACCTTGGCTGGAAAGGGGGTCTGGTGGCTGAAACCCCGCCTGTGAGTACAATGGACGCTCTGCAGGATCTGGCTTCAGACTCTAAGCCTGAGAGGTGAGATGCTTTGTCCACTGCACCGGAGGCCAATGGAGGCATTGGGCATCTGCTCTCCACCACTCAGGGGTAGCCCTGTACATCAGGACATGTGCCCAGGGCGCTGAGGTTAAAGGGCACAGGGACCCACTCACCACTGAGACAGGTGGATGGGCTGGCATTGTGGGGATGTATGTTCAGGGTGCCATGGCTAAAGGACACACAGACCCACCGAGTGGGGTAGACAGGATGGCGTTGCGGCACTGGGTTGAAGCCGCCATGTTTGACGCGAGCAGCCCCTATTGAAATGCAGATGCGAGCCGCAGTGCTCTGCTTCCAACCTGGCTTCCTGTTGTTGCTGGTCTTGGACCAGGGATGGTCCAAGTGTTTGGGAACCCTGTCACCCAAGTGGGAAACCCGCTGCAGCTGTCGCAACTACTTGGGGAATGAACAAGCAGATGAAAGAGCTCTTTCTGTCTGTGTAACCCTATCTTTCAAAGAGTTAAATAAATACATTTTTTTTCCAAGAAAATGAGCTTAGAGAGGTGGTCCCCATGGCAGTCCTAAGGTTTTGAACACCCCCTTGGAGTGCCTCACGGGAAAAGAACTCTGACCAGGGCTCAGAAAGGGGCCTTCTGAGAAGCGGCCTGAAGGTGGCGCCAGACACCAACCAGGAATAAACGGGCCATGAGCAACACGGGAGAAGGGAGCTGCCAGGTGACAGTGGCAGGTGGCGGCTCTGAGCCAAGGTCTTTGACCAGAGCGCTGGAGCAAGGAGGTGTGGCTGACTTCTGAGAGCAGCTGTCTGCGGACAAGGAGGGCTGCTGGGCGAGGCGAGGAGGAAGGGTCCCTGGGCAGCAGTGACAATGCAGGGAGGAGCCTGGGGATGACTGGCTGCTAAGTGCTGGTGCCTCAGGGAGCCTGAGAAGTGCTGCACAATCACGCACAGGGCGGCAGGACAACCTCGACTCCGCCCTCAGAGAGCCGTCACGGTGGGCACGCGGCGGCGGCAAGTGCACCTTCGCTGGGAACCTCACAGTTATGCCACAGGTGGGAATAAAAATAAGATGTAAACCCACTATAACGCTGAAACACCTGGCAGGGTGTTCTCCAGCAAAGGAGCCGGGGCAGCTCACGGTACTGACTGGCTAGTTCCACGTGGCTGAGAGCCACACTGTCATCACAAAGAGGGGTCCACAGCTAATTCTCCTGCCTTGACCCCTGACACAGGGTATACATGTATCCACACATCCCACTATACCCCAGGCACACACATCATTCTGTGTTGGCTTAAAAATGGTTCTGAATCAATGACACTTTCCTGGGGCGGGGGGGGGGGGGGGGGGGGGGGGAGGCAGAAACTCTCAAACTGAGTCATGAAACCAAAGAAAACAAGTGCAGCTCCACACGTGCAGATCCATCTGAAGACTAGCATCACCGGGAGACAGGCTGTAGAGAGGAACAGCTGATTGGTCAGGGCACAGTTCAGTCCAAGCAGTTGGTGCTTGAGCTGGTAGGTCAGGCTGGGGTGGTGCGCACGCTGGCCAGCAGGGGTCACTGTCCGAAGTACCAGGGGGACGTGCACTGGATGGGCTCCTCCTGCCAGATGTTCTGCAGCCGCTGGGCCCAGGACGTCACCATGGCTTTCCTTTCCGCTTCAGACACGAACTCGGGAGCGAAGCTGATCTGAGGGTTGAGGACTTGAAATCCACAGAAGTGCAACGTGCCGTGCTAAAGCCACGAAGGGAGAAACAGGAGCCATCAGGAGCTTTCTGTACCATTGGATCAGTGATCAGGGAGGGGAAATGGCAGGAGACAACCCTTCCACGCTGACGAAACAACTTCACCATGACGAGGCAGCTGAACACAGCCGCCTTGCCTGGAGCCTTCAGCTGTGGGGCTCTGTATTCAGGCCTCGAGCTGAGCTGCCACTGGAATCTTTGCTACTGATTGGGGCATTAAACATTCGTTTTGGACAACTGGGCCAGTTATCATACCTTCAGACTACAGATTATTCTAGAATAAGATGTTGGAGGGAGCATGCATTGTGGCATCACTGGCATCCCACATGGGTGTTGGTCTCCACTTCTGATCCGGCTCCTCCTCGTGGCCTGGGAAAGCAGCGGAGGATGGCCCAAGTCCTTGGGCTCCTACACCCTTGTGGGAGACCTGAGGAAGCTCCTGGCTCCTGGCCTCCTATCAGCCCAGCTTCACTCATTGCTGCCTCTTGGGGAGTGAACCAGTGCATAGATCTCTCAGTCTCTCCCTCTTTCACTGTAACTCCGCCTTTAAAATCAAGGTACATATAGATATTTTAAAAAATACTTATTTTTTATTTGAAAGGCAGATTTACAGAGAGAAGGAGAGAGCATGCCAGCGCTCTTCCACGTGCTGGTTCGCTTTCCAAATGGTCACAGCAGCTGGAACTGAACCGATCTGAAGCCGAGAGCCATCCCCGGTCGCTTTTCCAGGCCATAAACAGGGAGATGGATCAGAAATGGAACAGCTGAGAACAGATCCAGTGCCCATGTGGGATGCCAGCACTAGCAGGCAGAGAATTAGCCACCAGGCAGTTCCAGAATAAATCTGTAAATCTTAAAATAAAAATAAAACAAAACCCCACAGTAATTAGAATCAGCCACGAAAATCAGGAAATAGATTAAGTGATAAACAAATACTATTCTAAACTCAACAGCCTCTATAAATGCATATGCAATTTTAAGATATAACTGGCAAGGAGAATCCCATTTACAACCAAGGCAAGGGCTGAACATAAAGACAAGAGCACAGCATTCATACAGATAAATGGGATACTTTGAAGATACAATAGGATTGATTTTGCTGACAAAGAATCCTAAAGAAATAGTCATACTGCTGAGTCCCAGGGGCAGGCAGCCCAGATGGCTCCGGGGTCAGGGAGCAGGCCTGCACGCTTGGCTCAAGTTCACAGACCTGGGTCTGTGCGCTCTGTTCCTGCCTTGACAAACGACCCTACACAGGTGTCAGGGTCCCCTTGCCATCCCTGGCCTGAGTCTTGCTCTCCTCAATCCCGTCCTTGGCCTCTGGCCTTCACCAAACAGTGCCACACACAAGAGTACCTAGGCTGCTGGGAGTTACCAAGCTCACCACCCTGGCCTGGGCAGAGAGCCACTTGTGGACCACTTCTCAGGCCCAGGGTGCACATGTGGGCGTCGGGGGTACCACCTGGAAAAGCAGGCCTAGCAGGCTGGGGATGCTCAGAGTCCCCATTCCTGGGGCTGGCTTACCTGCAGGGGCCACAAGAAGTACCGGAAATCACCGCTGATCCCGGCTTTCGAGTACATCTCGGCTGTGCTGCCCGTGGTCAGGGAGAGAAGGGCTAATTTACCCTGCATGGGAGGAAGCACAGGAAGATGTAGACATCTCAGGAAGAGAGCAGGACCACTGTGGCCCCAGCCCAAAGCCCTGCACTGGCTGGGAGGCACACCTGAGATCAGAATCCCGGGCCAAAGACCAAGATACCATTTCCGGCCCAGCAGCCCACCCCCAGGGGAACAACTACATCTTCACAGTCACAACCCCTGGACCCAGACAACAGAAATGCTGATTCCTGCCCAGACGTGTGGCAGGAAGAGGCTCTGGGGGTGAAGAGGCGGGGGCTTTTACCTATGGAAAGCGCCCACATCACTATTTGCTGAGAACGAAAGTGCAAACTAGAACTTGACAGGTGCCCACCTCCACCTGAGCCGTCGTCCATGGTGCCGCAGCACATACCTTGAGAAGACCAGAATCGTAGATTTCTGGGAAGTCGAAGGCAAACCCCTGGCACAGCACCCTGTCCATCCAGCCCTTCAGGATGGCTGGCACACTGAACCAGTACAGTGGGAACTGCAGGAGGAAGCGGGGAACAGCACGGTCAGTGCTCACGTCTGGCCGCTCAGGAGCAGCAGAACAGTCTCCCCAGGCAACGGGGCAGGTCAGCTCTGAGGGGTGCAGTGTGCACACAGCGTGGGGCTGTCACTCACCGCCAGGTGCTGAGGCTGGGCCCTGGGGCAGCCACAAGGGAGAGAGGAGAGGGGGACAGGGGCTTAGGGATCTGTGGTCCCTGTGCCTGAGCCAATACACACGCTCTAGGGCACAGCGATCCACACATGTACACATGGTCAGGACGAATGATCGCGCTGCCCAGTGAGGAAGGGGTGGCATCGCTGAGGGCTGCTCAGAGGCCAGCCTGGGGGCAGTGGGAATCACCCTGCTGCTACACACCCTGGTGACTTTACTAAGCGTGTGGGGACCGCACCATCCCTGGGGACACTGGCAAGTGGTCATAGGCCCCCTGCTCCCCTCCCTTGCAACCACCATGTCACTTCTCCCCTCTAACAGGATTGAACACACAGACCACCTGCACCTACCAGACTCCTGGCTGGGTGGGAGACCCTGGGAGGAGGGAACCCAGCTCCCAGTACAGAGAGAGAGCAGAGCTGATGCAAGGTGGGAACGGGGGAAGCTGAGGAGCTGCAGCCCTGGGTCCCTGTGCCTGAAGCCCAGCCACAGCTGCAGGGGAGGGGTGCCAGGGCCTGGGTGTGCATCCCCCCACCAAGTCCATGTGTCAGAAACTTAACTCCCAGTGAGCTCTCCAGGCCCTGGGAGTCTTCCGAGGTGTCTGGGCTGTGAGTACTCCGGTCACGCCCCTGTCCCAGGAGCAGTTAGCTCCAGGACTGGTGGCTTGTCAGAGAAGCAGGTCTGGCCCTCTGGCATCCTCTAACCCTCTGCCTTCCAGCAAGGGACGACATGGAAGGAAGGGTTTTGTTAGCAGCTACCACCTTAGCCTTGGCCTTCCGGGTCTCCAGAGTCCTCAAGAAGTAAACAAATGCATTTTCTAGAAACATCTCTCAGTGTCCGGGGCACCGTTCTAGCAACAAGCAATGGACTTACACAGGGGAATCATAGCCTTTATGGCTCTCGCTCTTCCTGGATCTGAACTGGACGTTTGCCAACCCAATGACTCCCCTAAGACCCATGGGAAAAGGAAATTGTGCTAGAGTTGAACACTGTTTTATACTTGCTGCCAAGGCATCTGTGTTTTAGTGCCAGGAATGACCCCACTGAGTTAGTGCCTCCTGCAGTATGCTGTGGGGGGCCCAGTCCATCTCCATGGTTATACATGGAAAGGGTGTGTGTGTGTGTTGTAACTGCCCTATCCAGCCATAGTGGACATGTGCTGCTGGCCCTTAGTACCGCCTCCAGGGATAGGAAGCTGGGGAGAGTTGGGACCTATGACCAGTCTGGTCTGACAGGTTAAACAGAGGGCGAACCAACCTGGAATATCACCAGGTCTGCCTCCTGGACCTTCTTCTGCTCCTCAATGATGTCACTGCTCAGAGACCTCTGCTTGTAAGCCTCGTAGACTTCCACTGCATAACTGAAGACCTCGGGGTTAGAGACGGCCCCTGCGGAGAGACAAGGCCAGCTGTCACCGTCCAGGCGGGCTTCCAAAGCCCATCCCAGCTGACCACCTGCCAGGCGCCAGCCCACCGATGGGTTCCAGGAGATTTTGTAGAGGTGACCTAGCGTGTGCCACCCAGCAGGGGCTGAGCTCTCCACGTGTCAGCTTGCTCAATCTCCACCAAGAAGGAACTTGGCCTAACAGGAGGCTCCATGGCTGCTTTGAGACCAGCCAGACCCAAGTGGCCAAGGTGGGATGGCTCGAGGCCCAGGTGTGAGCCCCAGGCCTCTGTGAGAGGCCAAGTCATGGCAAGAACCAAGCCAGTAGTTCTTCCATACACTCCTAAAGTGCAAAAGGCCGAGGGGCCCCTGCAAGCAGCTCCCTGCCACTCACGTGATCCTCGTTCACAGAGGGAATGCCTCAGTCGGGGAGTACTGGGGACAAGGGGCTGCGGACTGCCACACTGCACTACTGTCTGAAACCCTCCTTGAGCCCCTGAAGCCTGGCCTTATCCCACAGTTCCGGCAGATGTGGAAATCCACAGGGACTCCAGGTCCTTACAGAAAATAGGCTAGGATGGGCTGACAACCAACACATCCCTCCGGCATGCACTAAATGGCCTTTAGATCGCGGCCAATACCTGGTGCCAAGAAAATACATGGTCACCAGCTGTTTCGCCATATTGCCTCGGGGATAATGACTCAAACAAGAAAACTACCAACTGTGTTTAGGACAGATGTGACTGCTGGCCCAAAGCCTGAGGCACAGCTGGGCAGGTATGAGGATACAGGCTCTGAAGGTATCCAGGGCCTCGTACCTGCACACAGGTGTGAATCTCCACTTATACTTAGATTAGCACTGTAACAACTCACACCAGATCTTGAGGCTCACTTGGCCTGGGCTGCGGTGCAGGACTGGAGTGGACGTGCAAAGGAGGTTGCTTGGTCTTTTATCCCAGGTTCTCTACATTTTTAAACATTTTCTTTCACATTAAGCTCATGCTACATTATTTCTTCAAAAGCCAGTGGCCCTGTATCCCAGCACCCTCGCCATTCCTAGTCCCCGCTCTGCTCATCATCAGGAGAAAACAGTCAACTGACTCATTTGAAAAACGGAAAGACGAAGATCAGGATGGAGGCTGTGTTGCCGTGAGTCTTGGATCTTGTGTCTGCAGATGCAGCTTATGCGATCACTAAGAGAATGGGATTCAAGGTGTTACTACGAGGTGGAGGCAGGGGACGCATCACTGCAGGTGATCTGCATCCTTGGGAAGCTCCAGTGAGTGGGGTCCTCACAGATGAGAACCAGCAGTGACGGCTGCATGCATGTCCTCGCTCTCTGCTCTCTCTCTCATACACACACAGAATAATGAATCACCCGCCTCACGAGGCAAAAACACCGGGTTAATAATGACAGACAGAAGAAGATGCAGTGACCCCACGTTCCTGGAGAGAGGGAGCTGACGCCACACAAGGGCGATTCCTCCTGCATTCACTTACACATGTAACGGAACCCCACAAACAACAAATCGTGGGGTTTCCTTGTGAATCTGAAGAGCTAATTCAAAAAAGATTCCAAGGCAAAACAAAGTACATGTAATTAGAAAAATAGAAAAGAAGGGAAATGCAGGAGACCTGGCTCTGCCAGATACTGAATCGCATTATTTGCCAAAAGAATTAAAATCATGTGGTACTGAGTCATGAGCAGACAGGGAGAACAGGACAGGAAGAGAATACCATCACGTGGGGGAGGGATGATTGCATTTTCAAGATTTATTTACCCGTTTGAAAGGCAGAGCGGAAGAGAGCGAGTAAGAGATGAATTTGCTGATTTGTCCCACGATGGCCAGGCCTGGACGCACATGGGTGACAGAGGCCTGAGCCCTTGGGCCGTCTTTCGTTGCTTTCACGGGAAGCTGGACTGGGAGCTGGACTGGGAATTGGACTGGGAGCTGGACTGGGAGTGGAGCTCCTGGAATGGAGCTGGTGCTCATGTGGGACAACAGTGTCTGATTGTCTGCTTCACACGCTGGCCCGAACCATGAGAATTCTGAGCAGGATACAGAGCAGAATGAAGGTGCGTTTCAAATCAGGGCCCAGGCAGTGAGCAGTGATGAGACAAATGGGTGGGTAACTTGGAAAACAAACCACACCATATTTCACATTCTGCACTGGAGTGAATTTGAAATACATAAAACATTGACATGAAAAGTACAGCATGCCAAACAGGAAACTATGAAACTGATTTTTATAATTTCTGGTTTATATTAAGTCTGATATACTATCCAGAAGCTAAATGAAAAAAAGATTTCTATTAAAGAAAAAGCCACCCTGAGCAGGTGAGAAGCAAATAAATCAAGCAAAACCCACGTGGGGTACAAAGTACTAGCAGGACAGGTGTGTCGCCCCACGCTGCAGGCCGGATCTCAACCCCGCAAGCCTGGCCCCACCCGCTTCTTGCTAACGTAGACAGGTGATGGCTGGAATGGCTGGACCCTGACAGGCGTGTGGGAAACCTGAACTGAGCACCGTTTCTGCTTTAGACCCGGCCCGGCTCGGCTGCCGTGGCATTTGCAGAGTGAAGCAGCGGGTGGTAGGCCTCCCTCTCAGTCTGTCTCTCCATCCACCTTTCAAACAGGTGAAAATAAATCAATCTCCAAGACTTTCTAGTTCATATTCCACATGGAAGACTATTTTTTAATAGAGAGTTCTTTAAAATTGGTAAGAAAGGACTTAGAGCTATAGCCTAGTGGCTAAAGTCCTTGCCTTGCAAGTGCCAGGATCCTATATGGGCACTGGTTCGTGTCCCAGCTACTCCACTTCCCATCCAGTTCCCTGCTTGTGGTCTGGGAAAGCAGTGAGGACAGTCTGGGACCCTGCACCAGCAGGAAGAGGTTCCCAGCTCAGGATGGCTCAGCTCTGGCCATTGTGGCCAACTGGGGAGAGAACCAGCTGGCACGGGGATCTTTCTATCTCTCCTTCTCTTTGTAAATCTGACTTTCCAATGAAAATAAATCCTTAAAAATAAAAAAGATCCACCGTGTAGTACAGATAATGAACTAGGCACATTTGGGAAAGAAGATTTTTTAAAAATTTTAATATTAATATTAATGAATATCAATGAAAATCAGCAAGCAGCTACTCTACTCCTCATGAGAGGACGGATTAGAACTCTTAACGGGAGACCTTTCTCACCTGTCACACTGGCTGTCATGAGTGACAGGGAGGAAACGGTACCCCGACAAGCACGGCTGCTGCGAGGGTCAACGGGCACGTGTGGACGGTGACTCGTCTCTCTTCAGGAGAATGAAGCAGGCACAGCCTCCTGCAGAGCTAGTCTACCTCTGGACATACTTGCACACGCAGGCAAACACACACAGCCACGGCTCATTAAAGCGTGATTTGCCACAGCAAATGATCAGACACCAGAAGACACGCTCTTCAGCAGAGGAAACATAAACAGTGACACTGACTTGCACGCTCCGTGGAATACCGTGCAACAGGAAAGAGAAAGCACCAGACAATGAGCATCCTACACGACGACGTTTGCAAACACCACAGGTGAAAGGAGAATGCTCTCACAAGAGTGTCCACGGCACCGACTGTCCCGGGCAGGACACAGGCTGGCTTTCCACCGAGGGGCCCAGCGACGGGCGCGGGGGACTGACGCCGTGGACTTGCTCAGCCCGAGACACCTACACGGACGTGCCATGCTTCACTTTTCCAAAAGCTCTTTCTGTAATTAAACCACACCAAGGAGCAAGTGGCACACCAGCGGAGCCCCGGCGCCTCCGACTCACCGGTGATGTCTTTCCTCGTGGCCCGGGGCTCGAAGTCCATGGCGTAGAGGTCGGACACAGTGACCGTGCAGCCCTGCTTGCTCAGCTCCTCCACGGCCACTCTCTTCAGGGACCCGTTGAAAGACTTGGGCTCCTGGTGGGCGTACACGATCAGCACCTTCTTCCCTGCGTCAGGGGCAGAAACGGTTCTCCATGAAGAGCAATTTTTCTTGGTCAAAAGTCAAGGAGGACGGGGATGAGAAGGAAGTGCTTCGGTGTACTCTCGTGCTTGAAGCCAAGACACCACAGTTTCTCAACGGGTAGCAGTTATAAAGTCACACACGTGTTCTCAGACAGCTATACCATAGCCCGTCGTCGCCAATACAGATGGAGAATCCACGGTTGGAAATGCCTGGGGCCACAGCGTGCTTTTCTTTTTCGGATGGTGGAATATGGCATTGACCTTTTTAGGCTGGGCACCCTAATCTAAAGGTCCCAAATCTGAAATGTTCTAAAACCTGAAAATTTCTGAATGCCACTGTGCACTTCACGTAGTGGAACTTCAGATCAGGGACACTCAACCTGCACACACTGGTATCTTCTACACAAAACCAAACAAACAAACCCGCGGGCGGTGCTGTGTGCAATGCTGGCATCCCACACCAGCTTGAAGCCAGGCTGCCCGACTTCCAGTCCAGCTCCTTGTGAACACAGCTGGGAGGGCAGTGGGACACAGCCAATTCATGGGCCCTGCTGCCTACACAGGAAGGCCAGACAGAGTTTTACTGGCTCCTGGCATTGTTCCGGCCCAGGCCTGACTGTGGCAGCCATCTGAGCAGTAAACCAAAGGATGAAAAACCTCTTATTCTATCTATGGAAAACCCCCCTATGCTGGGTCAAAACAGTTTGGTCTGTTCGGCTGAGGGTAAAGGTTGACCCATGCACAAGATTAATGAGTAACGTTTTCTGCTAATGGACTCCACCCTACTAGAGACATAACAGGAAAACAACACCAATGAAACCCATCCAGGTTTCTCAAGGAGGACCAGGCACTGCCTGCAGGGGACAGTTCTCCATGTCTGGACATTCTTGGTTGGAACAGGCAAGGAGAGGCCTGGGGTGCCCCTGGACCACGCTGCGATGGGACAGCAGGCCCACAGAGTCAGTAGTGCTAAGCTGGAAAAACCTTCATCTACACGAAAAAGTAAACAATAAAGCGAGGGTAAATTTCCTAAAATGAAGATTTACATGTTACGCCATGGCATCCAAGAATAAAAAATGTGTGTGTATGTTTTGCCTGTGCACATGATAGATAAGCACTTATGAGGAACCTCAGCTTCTATCCAGCTCCTCCAGGGCCTGACTTGGAGTCTACTGTGTGTACCTGCTGTGTCCCAGCAATGATTTTGGGGACTAGAGACAGGTGCGGTCTGGCACCCTCCTCCTGAGGAACTTCTATATTCTGGGTGCAGGTGATAATATATAATAAACCAAGTAAGAAAACACAAGACAAAGTGGCCACAGAGATCTGTTAGCACAGGGTTTACATGGGACTGTGTTGCTCAGGTTCTTTATACTAAACAACATGGCACCCCATTCTGATTTCAAAGCTGCATTGTTACCTGCCATGGTGTAGGGAGATGTGTTCTTTCTCCAGCTGATTCTGTGCTCCAGGCAGTGGCTGTCCCCGTGGTTAACCTGTGGGGGAGACAGGAGGCAAGGCTGTGGGTCTCTGGGCTTAGAGAAGGATATGCAAACGCAGGCTGGCTGCCCTCCCGCCCCAGCTCCACTTCCCATTACAGCTTCCTGTGGGTGCACACCCCGGGAGGCAGCTGCTCAAGTACTTGTGCGGAAGCTGGACAGAGCTCCTGGCTTCAGGCTGGCCCAGCCCTGGCTATCATGGGACTTGGGAGAGCGAGTCGGCAGGCATATTTCTCTGTGTCTCTGCCTATGTGGTTGGGTGTGTGTCTGTCTTTCAAATGAATAAAAACAAATAAGTGAAAAATTCAAGGAGATTTCAGTCTCAAGGAACAAATCATGCAGGATATCAATGCTGATCTCCCCTCCCCTTTTTCCAAGAAGACTCAGCACCTTGCAGGAAGGCCTGCCTGTTAGGTAACACAGGCAGCTGGGCAGGGGCAGAGGTAGCAGTCAGCTGCCATGTTGCCACTGGAGGCCTGGGAGATGGTACTGGTGTGGTTTTGGGACCTTTCGTCTGCCGAGAGGACAGGGGCTTGGTTTGGGAACTAGACTCCAGCCACAGGTCTCTAGTCTACCCTCTACCCGCTCTCAGAAGCTCTGTGGGTCAGCAAAGGGACTTAGACCACATTCCAGAGCTGCTTTTCTAACTCTGGGACCTGTTCCATGTCCCTTGCCCTGCAAAGTCAATACATGGCCCAACAGAGGCAGGGCATTGGGTCGGTGGTCCTACAAGGTGGCCAGCACACGATGGCATTCTGGCCAGTGTCAGCTCTCAATGGCAGGAGGGTGCCCTGTCTTTCTGGCCCAGCTGGCCATAGACTGGCTTCATCCAGGAACAGCAAGGAGCTGGCTACAAACTCTCTGTAACTCTGACCCTGGCAGCAGTGCATGTTTTAGACTGAGAAACGATGGTGTGCCTGAGCGGTGAGACCCTGTGGGTTAACAGAACCAGAAGGGGAGGGAGAGGGGGAGGGGAGAGGAGGACAACGCCGGAAGCTGTGGTTGGAAGGGTGAGTGAGGCCCGACCAAGCCAGCGGCAGGGAGAACTTCACCTCTAGAGGAGGGCAGTGACCCTTTCAGAATGGTCCCTGGGGAACAGCTCACCCTGTGACTCGCCCACAGGCGCCACCAGACGCATGCCAGTTCCTGCCCCTGTGGACATGCCGCCCGGCGCCCTAACAGCCACGCAGCACTTCTCTGCTCCATTGTCCACAGGCCTCTTTGTGCCCAGGGCCCTGCTCCTGGATACTGGGGTCATTTCCACTTTCTTGCAGAACCACGGGTAGCGCTGTCAGCTGGGTTAGAATGACCCTCTTCAGGGCCTGGCACGGTGACCTAGAGGCTAAAGTCCTTGCCTTGCATGTGTCGGGATTCCATATGGGCGCCGGTTTGTATCCCAGCTGGCCCATTTCCCATCCATACTTGTGGCCTAGGAAAGTAGTTGAGGATGGTCCAAAGCCTTGGGACCCTGCATCCATGTGGGAGACCTGGAAGAGGCTCCTGGCTTCAGGTCAGCTCAGCTCCAGCCGTTGCAGCCACTTGGGGAGTGAATCAACGAATAGAAAATCTTCCTCTCTGTCTCTCCTTCTCTTTGCATATTTGACTTTCCAATAAAAATAAATAAATGTTTAAAAAAAATAGAATAGCCTCTTTTCTTAAAGAGGAACCAGGTCCTTGGGAACTGAGCCCCATGGAAAGTGAAACCAATTTCCAAGAAGTTAAACTGTGACCTTAACTACAAAATTGTTCACCTTGACTCCAACGTGCCTGTAGTGGCTGCTGCACCCTTGCTGGCTGGCCAGCGTCAAGGCCCCAAGGATGTGGATTTTTTCCCTTTAAGTCCCACCCGTGCCCAAGCCTATCCCAATGTCCCGGAGGAAAGCAGGTCACCGGCTGCACTCCCGCGGCCTGCTCAGGCCTCTCGGGGATCCGGGACTCTGTCCTCACAGCACAGGTGCCCAAGGCCAGCCCTCAGGAAGATTCTTCAGGTCAGGCACTCAGAGGGGTGGTCGCAGGAAGACCCACTCCGTTTCCTAAAAGGAGTGTGCACGAACTGGATGCCCCAGGCAGCTCGCCGAGCTGTGAGCTGGCAGCTCCCAGCGGTGAGAATCTTCCCTCCGACCCCCAGGGCTGCAGCCCTTGGGGTACTCACCCTCCGGCCGCCTCGTGTCCCTGCTGGGAAGGAGCCCCGGGAGCGACAGAGTTAGCTGGTTTCCGGCCTCGCGAGCAGTGCGTGGCCGCTTGGGTGCAGGCTGACCCAGGGCAGCCGAGGCCTAAGTGCCGCTCCAGGCCTGACCACATCCCGTCCGGGGAGGGGCTTCCTGCCTAGCCCCTCCCACCAGTCCCGCCCCCGTTAGTCCCCGCCCCTCGCCAGGACTGCAGCCCCGCCTCCGGAGCCGGGTCGGGTCTCTGTGCTGCGGAACGCTGCAGGAGGAGCGAAGTGCCGGACGGGCTGCGTCTCACTTCCTCCTCCTCCAGGACTCCAGCACAAAGTGAGGGTCACTTCCTCCTCCTCCACGACTCCAGCCGAAAGTGGGGGGTCCGCAGGAGGAGCTCTAGAGGCACCCTGAAGCCTGCTCGCATCGCCCAGGAGTTGGGCCCTGCCTGCACGCGGCCATCTCCGGAAAGGGGGATAACAGATGCGCGGTGGCTGGGGAGGAAGGTGGCCGTGGAGACACTAGGCCTGCTGGAGAAGACCGGGGTGGCTGTGTGTCTGAGGGCAACTGCTCTGCCCAGGAAGAGTGATCGGACCAAAGTAAGATTCATTAAATATTCCAAAGCCGCCACATCCAGCAGCTGGAAAGTCTTGAAACCAAAGTTGGAGGCCCTTGGCCCCGGACCTTGGGAGGAAGGGGAGCAGGGGCAGCGCTTACTGAGCACGCACCCCGGGTCCCCTAGGGTCCTGGTAAGGGAGAAATGGACTCTATTAACCGGGAAAGAGACTAGTGAGGCATGGCAGGCCTCTGGGAGAAGCATTTGTGCGTGTGTTCACAGATATACATGGATGTGTCTGTGTGTCCATGGATGTGTCTGTGTGTCCATGGATGTGTCTGTATGACCATGGATGTGTCTGTGTGTCCATGGATGTGTCTGTATGACCATGGATGTGTCTGTATGTGCATGGATGTGTCTGTATACACATGGATGTGTCTGTATGACCATGGATGTGTCTGTATGTCCATGGATGTGTCTGTGTGTCCATGGATGTGTCTGTATGTGCATGGATGTGTCTGTATGTGCATGGATGTGTCTGTATGTCCATGGATGTGTATGTGTGCATGGATGTGTCTGTATGTGCATGGATGTGTCTGTATGACCATGGATGTGTCTGTATGTGCATGGATGTGTCTGTGTGTCCATGGATGTGTCTGTATGTGCATGGATGTGTCTGTGTGTCCATGGATGTGTCTGTATGTGCATGGATGTGTCTGTGTGTCCATGGATGTGTCTGTATGTGCATGGATGTGTCTGTGTGTGCATGGATGTGTCTGTATGTGCATGGATGTGTCTGTATACACATGGATGTGTCTGTATACACATGGATGTGTCTGTATGTGCATGGATGTGTCTGTGTGTCCATGGATGTGTCTGTATGTCCATGGATGTGTCTGTATGACCATGGATGTGTCTGTATGTGCATGGATGTGTCTGTGTGTGCATGGATGTGTCTGTATGTGCATGGATGTGTCTGTATGTGCATGGATGTGTCTGTATGTGCATGGATGTGTCTGTGTGTCCATGGATGTGTCTTTATGTCCATGGATGTGTCTGTGTGTCCATGGATGTGTCTGTATGTGCATGGATGTGTCTGTGTGTCCATGGATGTGTCTGTATGTGCATGGATGTGTCTGTATGTGCATGGATGTGTCTGTATGTCCATGGATGTGTATGTGTGCATGGATGTGTCTGTAGGCTACTGTGTTGGGCCCTCATCTCTTCTTTGTGTCTGGTAACTCTGGGTTGGTTGCTTGATTTGGTTTCACATATACACACACTTGCTGGTCTGTGGCCTCTTTAAAGTCAAGCTCTGTAGAAGTCCACAGGGTGGGACCCAGCGTGGGTACCAGCTTGTGACCCACCAGCTCTGGGCTTTGAGGCCTAGGAAAGCCAGTGGAGGATGACCCAAGGCCTTGAGGCTCCGCACCTGCATGGGATACCTGGAAGAGGCTCCTGGGTTTGAATCAACTCAGTTCTGGCCATTGTGGCCACCTGGGGAACCAGTGGCTGGAAGATCTTTCTCCTCTCTATAAACCTGACTTTCCAACAACAATAACAAAAATAAACCTTAGAAAAGGAGTCCATAGAGTGGGCTGTGAGTGGCAAGAGGAGGCCCACCTTGCAGACATACCAACCATGTGGACAGGTCACGTAGCCGAGTGAGCCTTAGGAAAGACTTCCCATCCACATTCCTCCATACACAAAGAAATATTTGTAAAACACAGACAAAGCGTTCCCTCTTCTGGAAAACATGAAGGGGAAGCTCTGGACGCCCCGGAAAGCGCTCAGAGGGCCCTAAACAATGCAAGGATGGCTGTGGGCTCTGGGGGATGAGGAGCTGTCTGTATGGGGGACTATCGTGGGGAGAGGGCCTCCCCAGGTCACCCACCCTAGGGTCTTCAGGCAGGTACTCGATGGAGGCTGTCATGTGAGCTTTGCTTCCCCCACCCCAACACTGCACTGGGCTGGCCTAGGAGTGCACGGGGTGGCGAGTGGGGTGCTCCATGGCTGCCTGTGACAGCAGGTGCTGGGGTTGGAGACCTGGCTGCCCCATTTCTCATCCAGTTCCCTGCTAATGCACCTAGGGTGGCCCAGGATGGCCAGGGCACCGTTCTTGGCTTCAGGCTTTCGTCTGGACTCTTACCATTGTGCTCATTTGGGGAGTGAAGTAGTGACAGAGGGACGTCCCCCCGCCTCCCCGCCCCGTCTCCCTCTTCATCTCCCTTTCTTCTCCTGTCATTCTGCCTCTCCAATAAGTAAGTGGATGCATAGATCTTTTACATTCTGTGTTCTTCGAGAACACCGGAAGGGACCAACCAGCCAGACTTGACGAGAATGCATGTAGGATTTTTAAGGATCCACAAAAGAGCCTGTACGATGACTTCTGGGCTGCTTGTACTAAAGTAACGCTCCCAGGATCAGGAAAGCTAAAGCCGAGCCAAGAAGTTGGCTCCCAAACTTTGCCTGAGCACGACCCTTCGCGCAGTGGCATGGTCTCCCTCTGACCTGAGTGGTGCGTCCGGTCCACCCGCATCGGCTTGACCTTCTGGGGGGGGGGGGGTGTCTCCGCCCACACGACCTGGACCAGCACGCAGGCAGGCTGACCTTGGCGACGAGAAGAAGCTCCGGGAACTTCCAGACTCCTGCTCCCCCTGGGAGATGCACCACCCTGCCTGCGCTCATGCGCTGTGCTGGAAATTCTCTTCCATGGACGCCTCAGTTACTGGTGGACATAAATAGGCGCCAAATGGGAATGTGCTGGCGCTCCTCTCCCCAGCGTGAGTCACACTCACCCCAAAGGACTCCAGTCCGTCTTCCCGGAACCTCTACCCGCCCCCTGGGGGAGGGGAGCAGCCAGCTTCGCGGTGGGGCGCAGGGCTGCAATGGCCAGGGGTACCTGCCTCGCTGCAACGCTGCTGCAGCGGAGAGGTAGAAACACCTCCCGCCCCCTGGGAGTGCACAGGGCCGGCGTGTCCACGTCCCTGCAGGCTGCCGAGCTAAGGCTGTGCCCTGGAACCCTGTTATGCAGCGCAGGCCTTCTGGGACACCTGGAGGCCTTGGTGGGGCGGGTTTCCTTTCTCTATTGTGTGGCTCAACCTGCTGACCCATGCCGGCCCTTCCCCGGCCCGGCTCTGCCCTTAACCCTGTGACCTGCGAGGGCTGACTCACGCTGTGGTTTCCTCTGTCGACGGCGAGGAGGGCTGGGGACAGGGCTGCAGTCCCCTGAAAATCACAGTGAATTTCTCCATTCTCATCTCCCCGCTAAGCCCCCCAACAGGCCCCCGCCCTGTGCCTTCTCCCCTTTTGAGCTGGCCTGGGTCTCATCCCGGCATTGGGTTCCCTGCCTCCGGGCTAGCTCCCACCCACATTCCCAGCACAACCGTGTTTCCAAGCCATGGCTCTGCCCATGTGGCCACCCAGGGACTGTCCACTCACCACACATCCTGAATGTTAGCAGCCGTCGTGGCACGGCCCTGCCACTTGAGGGCGCCTTTTGCTTTGGGAGCGTGGCTGGTCCAGGCAGTAGCAGCCCTCTGTTCTTCTCTATTCTTCCAGAACTGGGGTGGGCTAGTTCAATCTTTCTGGGCACACCCAGTCCTCTGGCCGCGAGTACTGGGGTGTGCCGGATTACGCCGGATTACTCGGCAGCCTCAGCGGGGTATCTCAAGGCCAGTTTCTGGAATTTTCCAAAGGGCATTATGTAACTGTCCGTTGGAACACTACATCAGTCATGAGTCACAAAAGCAGTTCCCTTTTGTGACGCCGGAGTGTGAGAAGGCCTGGAAAGCTGTGCTCAGTGGGGTTCCGTGACTGCCTCGCCCGCGAAGCGGAGGGCGAGGGACAGGCAGGTTACTCCAGGGACAACCTGTAAACCATCAAAAGGACTTTGCTTAGGAAGCTGGAAGGATGGGCCCTCCGCATCAGGCCTTGTGACAGTCTCGCATCATTGCTGTTGGCGAACAGAGCGAGGGAGTAGAGGACCATGTGTTAGTTGAAAGAAAGTCATGTGTCTCGGTGGGTAGAGACTCCTGCACCGGGGGTGAGACTGCACATTCTGGGGAAAGAGAGCTTGCATATGTTGAGTTAGAGGGAATTTGTGTTATGGGTCAGGGTGTATATTGGGGCAAAAAGAGTATTGGGAGGAGAGAGCATGTCTACACGAGGGAGACGGGTGGGAGAGCGCTGCGTCTGATATTTAGCTTGCTTTCTAACATTTTACCTGTTTGAAAGCCAGAGTTGTAGACACAGAGAGGGAGAGAAGGAGATCTTCCCTCCTTGGCTCACCCCCCGAGTGGCTGCCATGCCTGGGGTTGGACCACAGGGAAGCCCGGAGCTGCTTCTGGTCTCTCACGTGGCACAGGGCACCGGCCTTGAGCCGTCCTCTGCTGGTTACCCAGGTATATTAACAGGGAGCCGGGGCTGCTGGGACTCGAGCCGGGAAACCATGGACGATGGCAGCCCTCTTTCAGTTCCTAATTTTTAAAAGATTTATTCATTTTTATGGGAAAGGCAGATAAACAGAGAGAAAGAGATACA